CCTCCACATCATCATTTTGAAGCTTTCACATTATTTGAACTTCTTTTTATGGAGGCCTGATAAAGTTTTGCTAGATGCTCAAGTGTACGACAGGTACATGACTAATGTCTTTTCATGCCACACCGATAACATTGATTTTCAACAACTCTTGAAAGGCCATTCTTATCCTTTTTCTACCCATCACCAATTTTCTTTTTTTGGTGGATATTTGGATTATAATTGTTACTTCTACCATCATAATAACGGTAATTTACGCGTCCCCTGCCACGACCACAGCCTCGGCCTCGGCCACAACCATGACCGCGTCTACGCACATGATAATTATTGCGTACAGTCACATTCACTTCGAGGAATAAAGTTGATCCAATGGGACGAATCTCATGATTTTTTATTAATAGCTCGTTATTTTGTTAAGCCACAAGAAGACATAAGACCAATTCAGAATATTTCTTAAAACCCTTTTTCACGATATTGCTACTATAGGAGCACATTTGAAGCATGAAAAGTTGAAAAAGGTTTTTTCTAATAAGTCCTCATCTGTTATTTTCTCACCACATAATTTCAATTGAGAACTCATTTTGAAAACTGCTAAATTATATTCAATCACAGTTTTAAAATCTTAGAGCCTCAAATACATCCATTCATAACAAGCTTTAGGCAAAATTACCGTTCTTTATGATCATACATTTCTTTTAAATTATTCCACAATTCTAATGAGTCTTTCACCATTAGGTATTCAGCTTTTAACCCTTCATGCAAATGGTGGCTAGTTGCTTCATTTTCAAGTAAAATAGTATTTTCTAGACCTTTGGCATCTAGATGAATTTTAGCATCTAAGATTCAAGAGAAATAATTTTTTCCCGTGATGTCAAGAGCCATAAACTCGAGTTTGGTAAGAATAGTTATGGATCAAACCAAAATGATAATAACAAAAATTATAATTATAATAAAATTGATGCACACTGAAACATAATAAATAAAATATTAGGATTCAAAAGTCAACCATAAATAAATCATTCCTTTAAAATTATAAACAAAAATAAATGAATAAATAAATAATAACAAATAACATATATGAGAATGAAAAAGATAAACAACACAAATAATTAGTTAAGACAATGTATATAAATATATACAAGGGAAGGGGGAAAAGCAGTAATGTAAATAAATATATAAATATTGCAATAGTATAAATATATATATATATATATATATATAGATGGAGCGGGAAAATATCACAATAGTATAAATATATATAGAGGGAGAGGGAAAGCAGTAATATAAATAAATATATAAATATTACAATAGACTAACTAATATATAATAACAATTTAAATTAAAAACAAAGATAATACTGCAGTGAAATAAATATAAATATATAAATAATAAATAAAGCTATAATTATATAAATCACATTATATAATCACATATAGTATTATTAGGCATTATTATAAATAAATTATATAAACAACATAAATAAATACAAACAAATATAATGAGAGAAAAGAAAATATAAACAGTACAAATTATATATATGTATATGAGAGTTAGTACAACATAAATAAAACAACATAAAACATTATAAATTATATATATACTCCTCCGATCCTTAATATAAGACCCATGATAAAGCCCAATTTTTATACATTTTATCCCACATTAAATTAGGATTTAAATGATAATTTTGAGCTTAAATGAACTTTTTATGCATTATTAGATTAATTGGTTGATTTTTGGATTTTGCATAAAAATTGAGATTTTAGATTAAAAATATAAATATTTTGTGATTTCCTATTTTTGACTTAGAATTAATTTTTTCTATTTCTTTGGAAACAAGTCTCATATTTTTAGAAAGATTATTTTTAGAAAGTTTTGTAATTTCTTGCCTAATTTTTGTACAGATCTGATATTTAATTTTTTATTATATTTGGATATAATCTATATTAATGGATGTACTTAAATTCTTGTAGGTCAAGAAAGAGTATATAGGAAATCCAATAGTGCAAGATTGTTTCTTAGGATTTAAGCACAATCCAATGACCAATATCAAGTGGGTCAATTAATTACTAATGGACTTGAGTTTTGGATCTAAGAAAATTTCCTTTTCTCTCCTAAAATAGTCCCTCTAGCACGCCTAAGATCACTCTTTTTTTCCATCTCCATAGAGACGCACGGACCATTAAAAAACGTGAATCCTCTCCTTTCAACAATATCCCATATTCACCATATACCATATATATTTTGTCCCATATTCGGAAAAAAACATCCATCCGCTCTCACCATCATCAATTCACATCCTTTTCTTTCTTACTCCACGTACAATCCACATAATCATCCTTTTCTCTTCTTTACTCCTCATGGCTGCGGCATCTAATGATTTTGGAGGGAAGATAATTTCCATGGAGGTTTAAGCTTGTTAGGGAGGCAACTTGAGAGGAGCATGGAGGAAACTTGAGCTTTGGGCTAGCACTTGAAGACCACAAGGGAGTGATATTCCATTTATCTTTTTAATTCAAGGACTTGAGATTATTTAGTTTTAAATAATTTTGAGTTGTATTTTTGTGAGACAATTTAGTTCTAAATTGTCTTTTTTTTTTATTCTTGGATTGGATTGATATTTGGATTTTATTTGTGTTGGGACACTTGCTGGAATTTATGTTTTTGAACCTTTGCATTGTTAATTGAATTTATAATTGAGTTTTCATTATGAGTTTAATTATCAATGTGGTTTGAATTGCAAAATTTGGGTTCTTTTGCCTCTTAATTGTTTAATTAAGTTGGTTGGTTATCTGATTGTTTAATTGGATAATTTCAAACATAATTTCCAAAATTAATTTGAATTATTTTCATTGGTTATAAGCTTAATTAACCAACCTTACACTGTTATGAGTTCTCCAATGGTTTGAGGGTTTTTGAAGTTAAGGGTTTCCTTTATTTTAAGTAGGTAATTAAGTTTATTAATTCTACTCTCTTATCACTTCCCTTTGGTTTAATTAACTGATTAAGGTTATGAAGGTTAAATCCATGTGAATCCTAAGTTGTCCCCTTTACCGTACCTGAAGAAAAATTTCTGAATTTTTACTTGCTAATGCTCTTTGCTTTCTGATTAATTTTCTTTATTCATTATTTTTATTTTCCTTCTGAAAAAAAAAACCCAAAAATTGCATTGCATTCATTTAGTTTAATTTAATTTTCATATATATTTTAGGACATTTGCATCTTGCATTTAGAGTTAGAATTTTGCATTTTAGTTTAGGTCCAATTTATTGTATTTTTTTTATCACCTAAATTTTTACCTAAAGAAACCCATAACTTGCTTCTTGGAAGTAATGACCTAGGTCGACCCTAAATTACAAATTAATTGGGACCTAGTTTAATGGAGTGCTTTGACGACAAGAAGCATCATCAACCCATTTAACTAATTTGATTAGATTAAGGAAGTTAGGTAAGTTAGTTAATTATAAGAAATGTGACACGTTTTTCCTAAAACACCATAATCATCTTTCTTAATACCCTATCTCCTTCTTCTACTTGATTATGGTTGAGAAAGTATCCATAGGGGTAATTTAGAGAAAATTGATAAATATGAAAAATAGGTCTTATATTTAGAACCAAAACTAACTCAATAATTGGGTCATATATTAAGAACCGGAGGAGTATATATGTATATAAGAGTTAGTACAACACATATAAAATAATATAAAACACCATAAATACCAAATGAAGACGATACATAAATTACATCAATTATTAAAAAAAAAATTTTACATAATGACAAAATTAAAATGTAAAGAAAAGAACAATAAAATAATATAATATAATATAAAACATGATAATTAAGAAAGGAGATAATATAAAGTTAATATGTAGTCAATACATAGATATATATATAATGATGATTAAGTAAGGAGATAATTAGATGATGAGAAGAATACATCATCTTACAAAGAGTTTAGACTTCAAATTTTCAAAGTAAGATCGTGCTAATAATGTATTGTAAAACTATAAGAAATAAGGAGACTAAAGAGTAGAAAAAAAAGAAGAAAGAGATAAAGAAGACAATGGCCTTCTTCTCATTCACTTTGTTTCATAGTACAAATGCCTCATGCATGCCCTCTATTTATAAGCCTCCAAGCACTGAAGTTCTATACTAAGATTATAAAGGAATAAAGAATATTATAATGGTATTAACAATAAAAAACTCTTCTCAAATCATTCATTAGAAAAGTTATGTAGTTTATAACACTTGAAGATAAGAAATCCTATGAGAATTCTAACAGTTATGAGTTATGAACATCCACTCATGCAATATTCATAATAATTCTCTTACATTTTATTACTCCCTCCGTTCCTTATTATAAGAGACGAATAACCGAATTACGTTGTTCAAAAAAACAGTTAAAATTAGTTAAGAACAACAATGTGTAAAAAGTATAATTTTTTTTCCTAAAAATGTCCTCATTAATAAGGAAAGAGAGCATGAGAGAGAACAATGGTAAATTATTAAAAGAAAGAGAAATGGAAAGGAGAGAGAGTGTGAGTTGAAGACAATAAATATGGGTAAAATAAGAAATCAATACAAAAAAGTAGAGACAACTTTTAAGTATCTCTTATGTATAGAAACATGCCATAAGCATCAAATGTCTCTTATAATAAGAAACGGAGGGAGTATTAGTTATTATTAATATTGTTATTTAAAATTAAATTACATTATTTTAATATAACATGTTTGATCTCGAATTGACTCTTGAACCACCACCTAGTTAATGATTAATAATTGTCCTCGGTTTTTTCTATTTTATAACCTATGTAGAGGACGTTATTCTCTAATATCATTTTGATCTTTATTTAAAAAAAAAAAAAACATCTTCACGGATCCCAGGGCTTGCAATAACACCTTGGTGACAACTCCTATATCTCCTTGGTGAAATACCACGTGAGTGGTTTTGAACATGCAACTTAAAAGAGCAGGATGACTAAAAATAAATCAATTTATTCACGGAGGAAAAATATTTCATGTAATCTTTTTTCTAATAAAATACAAACCACCATGAAAATAATGTCCCCACCTAGGCAGCTGAGGGAATCATACATAAGGTGGATAACAGAACTACGTACTAACAAGAATATTTTTTTATTCTAAAAAAATAAAAGGCAGCATATAATACTACTATATTCCTAACATAGTGACGACACCCTGGTGCACCTTCGCTAAGCGGAGTTCTTTTCTCAGAGATCATGAGTGGACCCCAAAAAAGAAAAAGGAAAAAAAAAAAAAAAAAAAAGCTCTTCAGAGTTATAAATACATGCAACTAAATAAGAAAACAATACAACTCGTCCAGCTGATATAAGCTATTCCAAGTAAATTCCATATTTGCCATAAGCAACTGTAAGAAAAACGAGTTGCGTTATTTTAGTTCCCCTTTTTTCTGGTTCATCACTTCCATATCACCAACAAAAGGGCAATAACGAAGTTTTGTGGCTTTGTTTGTGCTGAACTTGAGGGCGCCATTTAACGAGGTTCTACTGTCCCTTTCATTCTGTCTTAAAACACTGCCCCGTATGAATTCTGCCTTCATTACCAATAACTGCAACATTATTGTTAGGTCATTGTCACAGGTTTGGCCAGCTTTGGTGTAATAATTATGCGTCCAGACCAAACAAAAACAGTTTTTGCCAGACAAAACCAAGATGACTTTCAGGATTTGGTATTACATCTTCCAGTCAACATCAACATTGATATACGAAAAAATCATTTAAATAATGAACCTTGTGTATTGAGATATATATATATATATATATATATTAATCTGTTGCGCCTTTTGTTTGGGGGATGTAAGCACATACCCGAAAATGGCACGTATGCGTATGCATGAAAATGTATAGTTGATTTCTATGGGAAAAAGCATATATAAACAAGTTCTTCACAGAGAGCCTAGCAAATGATAGTATCGAAGTAGTGTAAAAGTTACCTTACCTGGACTGAAATCAAGATGCATCCAAACGAGCAACCGAGTCTCCATTAAAATCACCAAATATATTCGGGCATCCGTCCCATTTTGCTTGCTTTCTGGCTTCCCAATACCCGCCCACATATCGAAACGTTCCATTTTCACCATCTCTTTGGAACCATTTAGGTTTCCAACCATTTTCTTGTATTTTCCTTGACTGCAGACCACAAGAAGCAGGATAATTATCAGTATAGCTGGAAAAATATTTTAAAACTAATAGTGTTGTCTTCATGCTACTGTGCATTTTGGTTGCACAGATTCCAAATCATGAATTAAAACTGCACACAATTCAGGTCACAGTTTGCTCACCACTGACATTTTCAAGTGCATATCAACAAGATTCTGATTAAAATTAAAGATCAAACTGCTTACCATTCTTTGTCTCTTCTCCAACCTTTGTTTCTCCAAATTCGCCTTCTCATATTCCCCATTCTCTAGATGCCGCTGATCTGGTCTCAGCCTGGAATCCGTAGGCGGGAGCTTCTCCTTTAATCCGTGATCAAATACCCGGGATCAGACAAAGCTATAAAAAACCATTAGAGATGACTAATAAGAAAAGGGAAGCGCACATCAAATAATCATTTAACACATCATTACTACCTTGAGTCCTGGTACAAGCTCGTTCAGAGTTATAGCAAACGATGTCATATTGTAACGAGTGAGATTAGTAGGAGGTTTAGTCCTTTTCCACAGCATCGATGCATCTGATGAAGTTATATGTTTTGACTTGACATTCCCATCACCAATAACATAGTACATGCTGTCATCCCACTTGCCAAATAAGGCAGCAGCCTTTTTCCCCGTGACATCTTCAACAAATCCATGCACCTAGTCAGAGACATTGTATCGGGTCAGGTATTAAACAAATAAAAAATAGAAGATTTCACCTTTTGGAAAGTTTAGTGAGAGAGTGGGGGAGAGCAAAGGCGGGAAGAAATAAAGGTTTCAAAAAAATTGATAAAAGTAAGTAAACCAACGAAGGTCTAAGTATTAAATTAAGGAATATATTAGAAAAAGTAGATCAAGAGCGGCAAAAGATTAAAGGAAAACTACTAGTTACTAGCAGAACAGAACTCCTAGGCCTACCTGGTGAGGATTTCGATCAAGAATGGTCTGCTCTTTGAACTTGAGTCTGCATGAATATTGGCGATTACCGCGTATATCCATGTTTCCATGATGATCACAGTATATTTTACCAAGGATAAGATTATAAATTGTTGTGGTGACCTAAAAAAAGGGACAACAATAACAATCATAACAACGTTAAAAAAAAATGGCACGACTTTAAAAGCCTTACACCGCCACTGGGCATCACATATTCTAGGGTACTGCAGAATTGTTCCAGCAACACTTACCTTACTCCATTGAAATATTTCACCGTCATCAAATTCTACAGACAGAACTCCCACTGGGTCAAGCTGAATTGACCTGCCCCAAAACTTTGAATGAATGTTACTATCACCCCAAAACTTCCATCCTCTACCTTCACAGTGGCAGGCAATGAGAGTTGGATGATGACTGACCTGTTGAGTCGATTGTTGCACAATGATATAAAGAATAATTAGGCGTGTAAAGAGAAAGTACATTTCCATGCAACTGGATGCACAGTTGGCACGGCAGCTTTAATACTATAGACGAAAATTGCATATCGCTTTCATTTCCAAACCTCTCACAGAAGTGTCATAAATCAAAATTTTATTTGTTCTATCATTTGAGAAAACCCAAGATGACTTGGCTTAGATCAGGCGTCAGCATGCAGAAAGGGAGTCAGTAACCATGAGCGAAAGGCACTTCCTTCTCAAAAACTATATGACCAAACACCACTGTTTTTTAAGGCCTGTTTTCGCTTCTGAAAATAAATTTGAAGTGTTTAGCCGAGCTTATGTATATGAATAGGCTTCTTTCCAGTCGTAGCAAAAACAATTTTGTTAGAAATTAATTAAGTTTATGCACACATGAAAGTAAGTTGTTTTCAATTTACTTGTTGTTTTTCAAATGAAGGCTTACTTGTTTTTCACTTACTGTTAGGACATCACTTCTATTCATTTTAATATGAGCTTAATTGTTCTGTTAGGATTCGGATAGTTACCTGCAAATGAAATAATGCATTCCATTTATTTCATATGGTAAATTCAAAGGATCATTATTTTAAGACGTTACTACCACCTCCTGGGGCAAAATCATTAATTACCATACTTGTTTTTCTGACGCACCCTCTTAAAATGCATGTCCTTTTAAGTCATTAAATAAAGAAAGCCACTTATTTTAAAGAGCAGCCAAGCATGACAAAATATCGATGGGTGTGTGTGTGTGTGTGTGTTTTAAACACAAATTACTTTCTGACAGTGCTTAGACATAATTGAAGAGAAGATATTTCAAAAGAATAAAAAAACACACATCAACCTCTGATGATAATATAATCCGAGAAATCTCATTTTCTCATAGAATAAAATGTTAACATTGTGAAACTGTTGTAATAATTGCAGAACAAAGGAACCATATCTTCATTTTATCAAAGCTATCAAGTATTTTTACACAACTTTTTAGCCACAGGGAAAATTTTTCTGTGCAACTTCAGGTTTTAAAAAAGTAGTACCTCCGGTCCTTAATAAGTTAATATAAGACGTCATTTGACTTTTATTTTGATCCTAAATATAAAATCCTAATTCATTTTGTCTCTCATATTTATGTACTTTTTCTCAAGGTAGTCTTTCTAATAATGATAGTTCTAGCCAATACACTTGATTAGTAAGGATATTTTAGAAAAGACACTTATTTATTATAAATAACTAACTTAACTTATTTTCTTGATCTCCTCAAATTAATCAACTAACTTTTATAATTAGGACCGGAGGTAGTATTTAATAATTTAATAATGTTTTACAAGGAAAACATTTGAACTAAAATATTGAAAATATAAGAACTTCAAGTCAATTATAATACCATTTTTAGCCAAAACTTCACAGAACTTCTTCATAGATGTGTGTGTGTGTGTCTCTCTCTCTCTCTAAGGCATAACTCTGCATCATTAACCCATAAGGCACTAACCTTTTCAGAAAAGAAGCGAATTCCTTTCTCAGGATAATCAGCTTCATATGTTTCCCCCAACAAAGGGTTAAATGGTTTACAGTGACGACCTTCAGATGATGCATATCCAGAAACGGCAAACGCTGCAACATTCAGTGCTCGAAGGAGACTGTTTCCCTGAAAACGACAGTTTCACATTTAATACCATCAAAATGAAGCAACATTTTACACTCATGATCTGCAAACAAATTACCAAAGACAAATGTTAACTAAGAAAAAGAGACAGATCGCTCAAGTTTTAATCGAGTCATTTATAGACGAATTCTCTTTAAAATTGTCTCGATCTCATTAACTGAGTTTAGGAAGGACCACCATATAGAAGCAGAAACAGTCCTTGCTTACTGATCAAAACAATCACTAGTTAACATTGGTCTCATATATAAACATCCAAAATATTCAAGCAGCTTTCAAAGATATAGATCACCAAAAACGGGAGGAAAAAGTGTCCAAACTATGCCATGCCCAATTGAATCAATGTTCAAAACAATCAGCATTTAAATACTAGTCACATATAAAACCGAACACATTTGCATGAAATATTCAAGTATGTTACAGCTGAATGAAACATCGCTCAAAATCGGTGTAACCCATAGTTTAATGCCAAGGCTAAATTATAGCGAGCAGAAATATGACTTTTTTGCATGCCCAAATTCAAATTGAGCCTAACTCCGGCACGAACTCACTCACTCAAGAAAAAGCTAATGTTAATTGCAGCAGTACATCGTAAACATTTCAAAACTCAAGATCTAAAAAATATTTGAAAAGAAAAACATTCACTTATTAAAGGAAGTTTAAAAATTATATACCAAACACAAATTTTAAATGGTGTTGGCATGTCAAGACAAAGACGAGCAGAACCTAGAGCATGATTTGTGCCTTACCGATTTTCCATACTCATAAGCTCGGTCCAAAAGGTAAGAGTATTCTAGGTCCTCAAAACATTTCTGAAGGGAAGATATTGGCTCATTAAAGTACACTGGAAGGCAAATACGTGAGAGATCCTTTCCCACATTGTCTTTGATCATGGACCAAAGACTAACACCCTTCTCTTTCTCAACAGGATCAGGAAGCTTTCTTCGTCTCGCGATCTGAGGATAACTACAATTGTCAGCAGGAACCAGAGGTCCTGACGACCCACACCTGAAACCAGGTTCTGCAAAGTACTCTGCAGTGTCATAGTATGAGATTTCATCTTCATCTGACACATCTTCCATCTCCTGTTTCTCAATATCTTCAGATGATTCAGTTGTGCTGCATTCTGAACAACAAAAGAATATGAAAAAGACTTCACACAAAAGGCTGCACAACAATTTCTATATAAACAATTTTACCCAAAGGCACCTCCATAATTATCAGAAGACAAATTGACCATTCAAATTTATAAACAGCATTGAATAACTACAATTAAAGTTTTTAATAGCAGTTTGCATCCATAATTGTGACTACAAACCTACTACTGTGAATAATCCTGCAGCCACCCCACAATGTGATTGCAATCTATGATGGCTATACTCTGCCATATTTGTTGCATTTTCATGCGAAGACCAAAATTGCAATTTGAAACATTGACCAAAGTATCCAATGAAGAGACAAAAATTGGAATATTTTATAAAGCACGTATTAAAAGATGTGCAAGACCTGTAAACCAAGTTCCCAGAGCAACTACCTCACATATCAAATAAACTATGCATCTTTAGTAGAGATACCAGGATTTACCAACAGTATTTATTGGACAAGAAAACGATGCATGGGCAAATCATGGCCAGTCAATTAAATTTTATACCACTATTCAGCTTCAAACAATGATCTGAAACAGACATGGGTCTTAAAGATGAATAAAACTAATAAATGGAGGACAGAGAGATTCTTTGACTTTATGATAACGGTGGTGAAATATATATTCGTAAGAAGTAAAATTCAAACCCTTCCAATTAGACAAGACATAAACATTTGGGCTCATGTGCTAATGACGTTGAACCAATTACTTTCAATAATTCAAGACATGTTTGTACAAACTATCTGATGTCAGCAATATTATTAATGTTGATATAGGACAGGACCATAGGCCCCTATGTCAACAAAGAATGTGACAGAGGTTCTTTATAGAACCACATGCTAAGAAGATTACTTCACAATGGAAGAAAAGTAAAAGCATATGTATGTAGAGTACCACTATACTTTGCACGTCCTAAGCTTGAAAATTCATGCTTTGTTAACTGGTATTCACCATCATGGATCCCAGAGGCCTCAGGTTCAATGTTAGCTGCCTGTTTAGAATTAATTGAAAAAAAATATATGTTTCATTAAGTCACATACAAAGGAACAACGGGATAAATTTGAAAATGGAAACAGACAGAACATAAAATGCAAAAAAGAGATCATTCAATAACAACCAAGAATAGAAGTGGGGAAAAAAAAAGAAACAGGAATTACAAATAATGATAACATTCTGTGGGGTGGGAGATTGACCAGTTGATAGATCAAGTCCTCAACCAAAGTGACCTGTGACACGATTGCTGAAAGACATTTTATAAAAGCATCATGATAGCAAATAACCGCAACCACTGGAACCGATAGAACCTAATGCATATTATGTGGCCTGATTTAAAACAACGATGCAAATTTTCAACTTCAATTTATATACAGGTGATATAATAAAAATTTCAAGATTGTAATTGTCAGTAAAAACACTCAAACCCTCGCCTTGGAGAGAATACATCAACATTTATCTGGTTATTTTGTGAAATTATATATTCATTATTATTTTGGAAGCTTTAAAATACCACAGAGAAAAAAGAACTAAGAGCGAGATCAGAAAGAGACATCTCGCCAACAGACTGCAAATAAGAAAAGCATGATAAGTGTCACAGTAATTGAAAAAAATATGCAATAAACTTAACTGAAGAGCTAGAAACAAAATGGAACAAAAGCAAAAGCGAATAATATAGCTGTTAGAAATAACGTCTCGTTACCCAAAAAAAAAAAAAAGTTGGGGAATAAGACAAGCTATCATGGTCAGGATGACTAGATACAGTATACCCAAGATGAGAACCGCCACAAGAAATGAAGATAAGAAATCATGTAACGTAAAGTCAGTATATAGTGACACAATTCGTAAGTAGAGAACCAACATATTCTCCTTCAAATCCATAATTGAAGTCGTGTTTTGCAAGGAGCAATTAATATGACAATGACTTCGGTTTACCGAACATCGCGATTGTAACAGCTATTTCCACAGGTAATGTGCCGTAAGATATATAGGAGTCTTCAGGATAAATTTTCAGATGATATCACATCACAGTAATTAAAAAAAAATATCTTGATGAAATGCATGTGGCTCCCAATCCACCGCCTTTAAAACTTTAAAATACAACCGAATAATAATAACAACAACAACAACAACAACAATAATGTGATGTATTGAGTTACCTCCAACTGCCTTATTGTATCAAGCAAATTTGATCGCTCTTCACAAAGGATTTTAAGTTGCCCTTGCATTCTCGAGAACTCAGAGAGCATTATTTGCTCACACTCCTTCACAACGTCCTCAGAGGTTCCTTCCTCAAGCAGGCGCTTCTTCAGGCTCTCAGTTGATATCGAAATATCAGTGGGTACAAGGGAAATATTATCCTTCAGTGATCTAAGTGGATGCAAGCAACGAGTAGACTCCAAAGCTTGAATCCACGCCTCCCGATCTTTCCTTGAATCAGTTCTAAGATGGAGAGTCTTGGTAGCAGTAAAGATATAGAACCGCCGATCGTCTGATCTGCTCTCTCTAAATGATGAAACCTGCAAAACGCTCGCACAAGATATCATTTAAATTTAGAAGAATCGGCATTTTACAGGAAAACAGCTAGATTCTACCAAGATGACAACTTCTGAGAAATGTTCTGAGCACGAAATAAGTAATTGAAAAATGAAATGCTCAGGCGACTATCAGAAGATATACTCAAGTCCACGTGAGTTAGATTTGAAATCCATAAGCCTGAGACTAAGTGGGGAGTGGAGAGGACAGCCCACCATACAAAAACATTGCGATAAAGTTGACAAATAATGCTCAGAATTTGTCAGCCATAAGAGTTAAACCACAACAAGCTCGATATTAACTCCAACGGGGAATGACGCTGCTAGAAAAATTCAAGACAAGGAATGAGAAGAAAGAGAGTGGGTTCTTGAACAGTAGGAACATAGTCCCATCTATAATCTATAATTTACAAAAAGGCAAGCATAAAACGTTAGATTCGAAATGCAGGATATACCCCACATATTGCTGTGTTTGTCGAGTCCACGTATGTATTTGCTTAACAAGAATAGAAAAGGTCCTCAATATATTTTTTAATATAAAAAAAAAGTATCTGTCAGTTAGTCTTCATTACCCATCAAAACAGACTTGCAAATCCAATGCAAAATCACCAACTGGATTTTTTTTTTTTTTTGGGGTTTCTTGTCCTCAAAATCCACACTTTCGTCGAAGTTGCTTAAAGGATCGCTGGTTACGCAACGCAACATACTTCAAATAACGTCAAAGGCATTATATCAAACCCCGAGACGCTACAATTACAATCACCAATGTCCAAGATCCCTAATTACCCACCGTTCGATTAATCACCTCAATGTTGAATCAATTCTTTTTGTCACCTAAGAGTTAACGCCTTCAAATTTTCTATTGCCAAATGATACTATTCCTTTTTTTTTCTTTTAAATGACTGATAGCCAACTTGCGGTTTGCTTCCTGAAGCCAGGACGAATAAGCGTATCAGTGGCTCAGAAATGCAAAGCTTTAGCTTTGGAAGAAGGAGGAAGGAAGAAGGCGAAGAGAGATGAGCAATCATTTGTGGAAATTAAGTCGGGTTTGCAGAAAATAGCGAAACGGAGGGTGAGGGAAGAAATAGGAGCACAAATCCAACCAATGTGGCAATGCCAATGAAGGAGATGATGTGACCGCAAGTTAATGCCTAGGGCTACGATGCAGGCTATCTCGACTCTCGCTCACCTGCTGATGTGACCCACTCTACATTAACAAGTAGTTAAAACTGCAAAACAAGGATTCAAAAGTTGAATTTCGAAATCGAAATCACAAACAAAAACCCAGAAGAGAGAGAAAGTCACGAGCGAACAATGGCAGAAGCCCGCGGTTTAACACATTATAGCTCAGACATCCAAGCCTCTTTATACCATTTTTATCAAAAAGAAACAGGTTGGGAATTTTCATGACGCAATTTGTTTATCCAGCCCTAAAAGTAAAAATAAAAAAATAAAAAATAAAAAAAAAACACTAGCGGTAATCGTATTTGAAATCAAAACGTCGCTCCTAAAACCTACAGGAAACTCGCAGTGAACTAGCGCGAAAAAAGTTAACAGCCACTGGCCAGGCGCTTCTTGGCTGGTATTTTTCTTGTGAGGAGAAATAGAGAGATAAAAGAAGCGATTCAACTACCCAAGTACGTACGTACCTTGAGATGGACTGCGCCAGACGCAGATTTCTGGCTCTTCCGACGCATGGTACTCCCGTTGTCCGTCCTCGCTAATCGGTTAGTTGAGATTTCGCCAATCAACCTGACGTCATCGGTCGGCGTGAGGAGATTGAGGTTTTCCGGCCACCGGATCTTGGCGTAAGAGAGGACGCCATTTTTCAAGAGGAACCACCGGGATCTCCATCCTTTGCTGTAATTGGTCCACTTATAGAGGATCCCGGCCACGGTGGCCTCCGATCCCCCAGCCCGCCCACCGGCATTGCGCTCAGATCCGACTGCAGCCAAACTGGCAGGCAGACTCCTTGTCCTCGAAAGCGACACCTCCGGAGATTGATTCCCGATTCCCGCACTCTCCAGCGAGATACAGCAAAGAGGATGCATCTCTTTCACCCGCATTTTGACTTCCCAACGATTCCCTTCTCCTTCTCTCCTATTCGCCCACGAGTTTCAATTGTCCATTCGAGGCGAGCATACAGCTGCTTCACTAAGCTAGGGAGATCCAAGATCAAGAGTTTAATTGATGAGGAAGGAAGGAAGGAAGGAGGAGGTTACATTGAATATGAAATTGGTGTGAAAGGGAATGGAGATAGCTTGAATTGATGGGAAAGTGTAATGAAAAAGAACGGAACGGGCTTTTTGGTATTTAGGAATACAGAGAGGCTTTTGGGGAACGAAAGTGAGGTGAGACTGAGAGTGTAGAAGAAGGAGAGTTTATATAGACGGAAAACTCAAAGGAATAGGAAGGAAGAGGGATTGAGGGTGATGGGTGGGTGCAGCAGGTGGGTTGGGTAATAAAGGAGGTGGCAGAATAGTAATTAATCTCCCCTCCCCTTTCTCTTATTCTTCTTCCTCTTCCTCTTCCTCTTCGTCTTCGTCTTGGTGTTCCTGAGTCTGCAACTTCTGTTCTGTTCTGCTGGCCTCTCCCTTTTTAACTTTTGAAATTGGTGGGAGCTTAGAGAGAGAGAGAGAGACCGAGAGAGGGGGAGATATCGCGAATAAATGGGAGGGGCAGAAAGAAGATGTTATCGGGAAAATATCGGGCGAGTGGGGAAGAAAGAGATGTAAGAGGACAGAGAGTTGAACGAAAAGAGGAGAGCCCACTGGCAGTCGGATGGTCGTGGGTCCAAACCTGAAGGCTGAAGCCCCTTATAATAAATGTCATTTACTGCGTAATCATGATTTTTACTTGACAACAAATACGGAATTGAGGATTTTGCCTTCAGAATTAAGATTTAAATTTTTTCACTAAAATAATTTAAAAAATGTTTTCTTTTAGTGTCCCACAGTGTTTTAAATAGAATGTATCATGATTTTGTAACTGTAAAATACATCAAAAATAAATATCATGATTCTTTTTTTTTTAATCATAGTTTTGTAACTGTAAAATTAATCAAATATATCGTGCAAAATAACATGAAAGGTTCTGGTCAAAATAAAAAACATCAAAGGTACTTATTTAATTGAAATGATATAAATATGATGACATAAAAGAATAAATTTTATAATATAAAACTTTTAATGACAATCTAAGATATTTATTAAATTATGTAAGGTTACTCATGCTAATTTTGTATTGAATTTAATTTATGGTATTAGTCATGATCATGAGGTGGGGAAGAATCATGATTATAAAAATTTTAATTATAAAAAAATTCAAAGTGTGTTGTTTCGTCAAAAATTATTTCTTAGAGAAACATACATTATCTTTTTGTTTTACCCAAATTATAAAAACATTTGTTCTCTTTTAAGGCGAAAAGAATAACACTTTTTTGACATTTAATATACTAATTATAGTAAAATATTAGGTAGAAAATCTAACATCTTCTAGATTAGTCTATTTTAAAAATAGTTTGTTACCCCAAAACATTTAGGAACACTATTTATGTAACATTTTATTTTTATCATCTGTGTTTACATAAGAAATTCTCATAAAATATAAAATAAATTTACTTTTTTGTTTTAGGGAAGAGAATTTGATCGTTATTAGCATTTGAAAATATAAATTAGATAAAAAAAATAAATGTTAAATGAATAAATGGACAAACACTGATATTAATAATTAAATAATATATTGATAATATGAATATCAACCTGGACGAAAATAAATGATTGAAAAAAAAAATTTTCCTTTAGTTTTAGTTTTAGTTCTTAAAAAAAGTTTATGAAGATAGAAGTATTCATGCTTGGATAGTTGTTCAAGATTAGCCTCGTGAAAATCTTATATCCCCTGAGAAGATATTACCATATGGAAATGCTTTTTAATGGAAGGTTAGTTTCAACTAGTTCTGACAAAAAAAATTACCAGCTTCACTTGTTGGGTCGAGAATATCCGACTTATTAAATTATCCGGTAATCTAGGCTCATGCAGCCTATTTAGAAGGTTTTATTAGAGATAATTTAGTATTTTTAAATTTAGGTTTTAGTATTCAATCCTTTTGAATAATTATAATTTTTATGATCTCAACAATAAATATTATTTTTTACAAGTTATTGTCCCTAATTTTCCTATTAATATAAAATTGATATTATAAAAAAAATAGTTGAAAGTTAATGTCATGATAGTATTAAAGTTCAAGAAATATTACTATTTTTATATTATTTTGGACTGTTCTAGTGATTATGATAAGTGTGATATCAGTTGTTAATAAGTGGCATCAAAGCATCAATTGGGATGTAAACTTTAACATCTGTTTACCCCAATAGACTTTTGCTTTAAAATGATAATGATATTTGTAAATCTCGCTCATATTCTACTTATATTTTTACAAGGTGCAATGACTTTTAGATATTGGATTTGAATAAGAGCTTTTATTACGTTTTAGATAACAATTTAATTATATTGTTTTGATGTTGTAAGCTGTAACCATCACCATCAAATGTCAATATTTTTCAATTAACATAAATTTTGCATTGATGTACCTGGTAAGAGGTTTTATAACAGAAATGAATAAAATATAAAGGTTTTGTTAACTTACAACAACATCCAAAAAAAAAAAACAAAGATCCTATTTAATTTCAAATTTCATATTTATCAACATTTAATGTTTCAATTAGTAGAATATCATCGGATACAAAAGTAATATTTTTTATTGGCAAAACAATAGTCTATTTTTATTAATGCCAAAAATTATATTATAAATATGAATAAACAAATCCAGAAAAATAAAAACACTTAGAAATAGATTAATATATATTATAATCCTATATATAAGTCACTTCTAACAAGTTTCACATAAATTAAAGAAAACATTAAACCTTATTAACTCTCATTTAAAATTTAATAACTTTTTAGTTTCATCCCTGTTTAATATATGTTATACATCATGAAAATAAAGTTAATAAAATAATAAATAAAATAAAAAATTATACATATTCATATTAAAAGTTTCTCTCTCTATCCTAGAAGTAAGACCAAAAATTTATTCTCTTTCTGTCTTATAAATAGGACTAGAAAAGTAATTAACATGCAACATTAATTGTTTTAATTCCTCTCACTTAGTTGATGCTACTTCCTTAACTCTTATATAAAGAAAAAAGTCCCAATCCTAAGATCATCTAATACGTTGACAATTGAAGAGTATATAATATTAAATATATTTTTTTTGCAAGTTATAACATTAAAATATTCATCTCTTAATTAAGTATTTAATATAGCGCCAAAGACCGGTGGCAAAAAATAATTAAATATTTAATAAGTGTATCAATAATCAATAAGAGATAATTCTAATACATTAGAATATGTGAAGAAAAACAATTCAACTCCAAGTTATAATAACCACAATTTCTGCTAGTTCTTGTCCATAAACTTAAAAGCCTCAATGTTTTACTAGCATAAAAAATTAGAATCAGAATTAAAAGCAATATTGATAGTTTTTAAAAAAGGAAAAGAAAGTACTCATGTGCCCACGTATTTTATCTGTGGAGGGCAAAAGGTATGAATATTTATTATAAGAGTTAATAACCACGTAGTTTAGAGATATGAAAGCATTTTTATAAGAAGAAAGTTGCAAGCTCCATCTTACTGTTACTACAAAAAAAATTAAATTAGCAATAAAATTTTCATTAATTATTAGTTTATTAGTGAGAATCCTTTTTGCAACATAATTTGCAAATTCTGTTCTAGATGTATCGTAATTTGCTCTTCTTCTTCTTTTTTTTATGTGTCAGGCTGTTAGTAACTTTCCTTTAATTAAAAAAACTATCATAAAATATGAGATGTATAATTCCAGCATTTTTCCAACTATATAATTATCGAGATTTTGATCGAAAATATTTTCATTCGCGAAACTTAAATTGAGTCTCATTGTGTTTTTGAGAATAGTAAAATTTGCTATATACTACCTCTAATCTTTAATATAAGAGATGGATAAATAATTTGGAGATATTAAAAAAATAATTAAATTGCTTATTTGTCTCAAATATATATTGATCGTCTTAAATTATTATCTTTTCATGTACATTAAAATAACTGTTGATGGAACATCTTATAACTAAGAGGAATATTTTGAGGGAAAACAAGATAAAATAGATTAAGATATTATATTTAAAATCAAATTTAAACTCTCAATTAGCTCTTATATTAACTAGTAATATTTTACATGATGCATATTAGTTGCTTTGGCATATACAAGATCATATCAATGGCCTGGCACGATACGGAAGCTTTTTTTAATTGTTATAACAGAGTTATGCGTAACATTCTAATTTGTAAGATTAAATTTGGATGTTAAAGATTTGATATTTTATTAAAAAATATTAATAAAATTAATTTAAATTATTAACATTTGATTTAAATAATTTATATCTGTTGTAATATTTTTTTAAAAAGTATGGTGAGTAGAATTTAGTAACATGCATAGCAGGAAGACGATAAGGTTGAAAGATCCAATGTTTGGTGTGACCAAAAAGCCCTGTGATAATGGACCCTTCGCAATTTCCCTATTATTAACATCTCATTTTCTATTCAGCTCAAAAAAAAAAAAAAACATCTCATTTTGACATCAAAGTAATTTATTCAATGAATTCGGCCACAATGCATTTCTTCGTCCCCCTGTTTCAAAACTTATGCCTCTTTGTAAATTTAATTTAACTTATTTTATTGATCTTTAGTGCCTATGTACCTCAGGTTGGAGCAGAAACACACCTTAAAGATAAGTTTTGGGAAGATATGGAGGGCTTGGTTCAAAGCATACCACTCGGAAAAAAAAATTTTATCGGTGGGGACCTTAATGGACATGTTGGTAAAGAAGCAGGACAATTCAGTGGGGCCCATGGTGGTTTTGGTTTTGGGGAGCTTAACAGTGGAGGACAATCTATTCTCGATTTTTCTCTTGCATACGATCTCAAGATTGTCAACACTTGTTTTAAGAAGCGAGAGGAGCATTTAATCACATACAAAAGTGGTGTCTCAAAATCACAGATTTGATTTCTTTTTGGTTAAGAATCCGAACAGAAGATTGTGTACTAATTGCAAAGTGATTCCAGGAGACGGGGTGAGTGCCCAACATAGAGTACTTATCCTTGATGTATGTTTTAAGAGTACCAGGCAAAAGTACCATCAAGTGGCAAAACCCAGGATTAAGTGGTGGCAGTTAAAAGGAGAGAAGCGGGAGTTATTCAAAAGGATTCTTTTGAAGGAAGGGAATTGGGAGTTGCAGGGAAATGCAAACATGATGTGGGAAGAGATAGCTACAAGGGTTCGTTTGGTAGCTAAAGCAATTTTGGGAGAATCCAAGGGTCCTGGTCAAAGAGATAAGGAGACTTGGTGGTGGAATAAGAGTGTGCAAGAGAAAGTCAAACAGAAAAAAGATTGTTTTAAGGCCATACACTTGTGCAATAGTGTAGAAAACCAGGAAAAGTATCAGTTGGCTAAAAAAGAGACAAAGAGAGCAGGGAGCGAAGCACGTACTAAAGCTTATGAAGGGTTTTATCAGGAGTTAGGAAC